TCCTCAGTATATTCCGGTTCAAAACGGTATCCTCTACCGTCAAACTCAAAGTCCAATATGTCCTCATCAAGAATCCACCTTTCGTATTCCATTTTCAGAGTTTTTTAAAGTGTTTAACAGAGACGTTAGCACCTCGACGTCGGAGTACACAGAGTGAAGCGAAAAGACTACAACTAAGTGTAGTCTTTTCCCCATTTCCGTTTCCGGTGGCGGAGGGATATTGACTATTCCAACAGAACTCAATGGGATTTACAAAATGCTAAATAAAACACTACAGGAACGTTTTTTCTTTACGAAACTTTTTTTGGAACGTCATTGAACAGCGCTGACGACCCGGTGAGTAGCATATTTTTAAAAAAGAACGTTTAAGGTTGTTTTAAGGACATTATCGGACATGCACTATGGAAGCCATTCTGAAGCAGCCAGGGGGGGATTCTGCATGAGCCAAAAAGCAGAGACAGGACCAATTGTCAAAATGCTGGTGTCGATCATTCGATTTCATCCTGGACACTACAGAAAATGGGCTAAAAGTGTTAAAAACCGGAATTTTCCTTTAAATAAAATGAACAAGTTATTTAAAAATTTAACAGAATATTATATAAATATTCTTCCAAAAGGGATACCATGATACCATAATTTCCTTTAAGGTCCGATCTATAGTCTGCTACTAGCGATACCCAATTAATATATATGTATATATTTTCAATTTAGTTTATTTCTATAGCGCCAATTCACAACACATCATCTAAAGACACTTTACAGTTCACCAGATCATCCAGTCAAATTCAACTTTTTCTATCTAAGGATAGGAAACTGTGGATTGCATCGACTCATTGACTCAAAGGAAATCCCTGTTGTTTGTTTTGGTCACTTTCCTTCTGGATTACATGACTTTTCCCAAAATGTTGGGATTTTGCTTTATTTATAAAACTTTGACACACAGCTTCAACTCTAACTAAACATATATAACTAAAAATTTAATATATGGGTTACAGGTTGTTATAAGTAAGTTTGACTTGGTATTTTTTACGGGGAGCAGGAGATGTGTTTTATTTTTTAAACTGTAACCGGAAACGTGGGATGTTTAAATGATAGCTTGACTTGACTCAGATGATAGGCAGTGGCTTTACGTCACCAAAATAAACCAATAGTGAAGAGAAACAGTCTACTGAGTTTACATCAGTGCACCGTTAGTAAATTATTTCTTTTTTTGAACTACTTGCAGTTATTAATGCAACGATAACAATTCTGCTGTTCAGAATGTAGAGTTGTGATAAAATGGGTAAAAAAAAACATACAACTGGTGACATTTTTAAAGTGGGAAGATGTTTGAAAATATGCTTTAAATAAAATATATATGTTTTTTATTTTATTTTTATTATTTATTTTATTTCATCATTTATTTTATTTTTATTTCTAAACAAAAATGATAGCAACATTTGTAATAACTTTATTTCTACATCGTTGATATTGTCGTGTTAATTATTTGTTTTTATTTCAGTGTTATAGAGCAATGCTTTTTTAAAACTGTACATTTCTGATGAGCAGGTTTTAATTATATCAGAGTTTAAGTTGCTAACTTAATTTAAAAATCTTCCTACAAGCGCAGGTGGTTGAATATTTATTAGACCCGCATCGATCGCTTTCACCTATGAGCTCTGACGTGATTTGGTGGCGCCATCTTGGGGCGGTCGAAAGCTCCGCTCAGTGTGATGTATTGAGGAGGAACAGCGTCAATTTTATTCTAATTTAACTTTCTGAATATTGAACTAATTTTCAAAGGTTTGGGGGTTTTTTTGTTCTTGAAACAAATAAATGTTTCAGTGTATTTGAGGTTAAGGGTAATTGAGTCTTCTAATAAGATTAAATATTAAAAAATATATGTGTGTGTGTGTATTTTTTCTTTGTAAAACACTGTACAGTACAGTATTTTATTTGTTTATTTTTTATATTTATATTTCAGGTGATTTGTTTTTTATTTTTATTTATACTGTTTTACAGCTGTAGTTGTTTTTAAGTGCTTAACAAATAAAATTGGACTTTTCTATTCTATTATTTTTATACACTTTTAAAGGTCCTCATATGAGTGACCACTGTTGCTGTAATCTTTTGCTGCTGTTACAGAACAATCGACCCATTGTGGGACAATAAAGGGAGTTTCTATTCTATGTAGTGTAGATATGCTATTTATTTAGTAATGTCTTACAAACAGGGGCGGAGCTAGATGGGGGCCGGGGGGCGGGGGTTTAATCATTGGCCACCCCTGTGGGCACCCCTGCCATTTTTTCCCCTTCCAATACAGATGGTGGCAGCAGTAATACTCTTAAGTGGAATATTCAAAACATTTTAATTTTTCATACATTAACAATTACTTGACAACAAAACACTGTTTTTAATTACGCACATCAACGTACTAATATTAAAGATGATAAGTACAGAATTAACGCTCTTTTCAGAACTAGATTTTGTGTTATATGGGGTTAAGAGAAAATGATGTGTCTGCAAGTCATCTAAGAGTCTTCAGTGAAATAATAGATCAATAACTATTTTAGTAAAAATGTATTAAATAATCAATTTATGTAGATATTAGTACTTGTAAATATTAATTTTATGCATAATGATTATTGATATAAGTAGTTAAGTAATGACAATGGAAAAGATGTTCATCCCAGAACTCTAACCTGAAAGAATTGTTTCCAATATACCTTTAATCTAGAAAGCAAGGATGTTGAAATATATGCATCTATTTGTTAGGAAAGGCTGCAGGAAAGTATAGTTTGTCTTTATTTAGCGAATATGGATGTTTTGCTTGTTAATTTTCCTGTTGGAACGGTGTAGATTGACCCTGAGGTTCTGACATTTATCCACTTTCTGCCTCCCCTCAGTACATTGGTTAATGTCTGGCCACCCTAATAAAAATTTTCTGGCTACGCCTCTGATTACAAAGCTCTGATGCTGAAGTTATCCCTCGATGCCTGATGCCAACAGTTTGTTGAATTAAACAAAAAGACGCTGCAGTGCTGAGGCATCATTCTTCTGTTCTGCCTAAAGTCGCAGGGAAGAGGCTGTTCCAACCGTTGCATTTCCGAATTCTGCCAATGTTGGTGCGCGACTTTACATGAGTGAATAAAGTGAATGAGATTGGTTGTTTATCAAGGTGGCGGGATTGTAGTTATGTTTATGTAGTTAGGTTTGCAAGCAAGTTTGGTTGTGGCCGGTTTGTCAGAAGCATCTTGCTAACCAGTTAGCATCTTAGCGCTAGCAGGTTCCCAATGGGAAATTCCATTGGGACCAAGTAGCACTAAATTGGTGACTTAGAAACGACACTGTCCTCTAACAAGGTTCTCAGGTTCTTTGGAGGCTGAATAGGCCCACAGCATCACTACTCAGTTTTATTCAACCAGAGAAAAGTTCCCGTCCTCCAGTAGAGCTTTACAGACTCCCCATGTTTACTTTTGTGATAGCAGAACAGAATCAGTCCTGGTTGGCATTTAGAGAGCATCTAATGGTTGTTATGGTAACTTGGTACCGCTACTTTAACAGCAGTTCTCCTCTTTAACCTCCTCACTGCATCTGCAGGCTAGATAAACTCCCATCCTGTTGTTTTAAACTTGCTTTCCAGACATGGGCGAGTTTAATCTCTTAGTTATGCTTCTTCAGTCCTTCAATAACTCATTAAAGTCAACAGGAAGCGGCCGTTCCAACCGTTGCATTTCGAGTGAATAAATTGAATGTGATTGGACGTTTATCATTGGGGCAGGTGGTGTGAAAGGTTCCAAGCAAGTTTGATTGTGGCCAGTTTGTTGGAAGCATGTTGCTAACCAGTTAGCGGTTAGTGACTTAGAAACGACGCTGTCAAGGAACGCTGTGGACAGCGGAAACATGCAAGAGGAGGAGAGTTTAGTGTCGGAGGTCGTGGATGAGTCTCCTCCGTCATCCATTTTTTATTTAGAGGAGGAAAGCGGGGACGAAGATGTTGTGGAAGAGGACGCCAGGGCAGCAGAAGCTTGGTTTGGTGTAGAAGGCTTCCAGCCGTACATGTTTGAGCCCTTGCCTCGCAACGCTGCCAGTTCTGTTAGCTCTACGCCTGCTGAAGACACAGACGTCCATCCCCGTGAACACTGGGACGCAACTCAATGGGAAAGGAAAGGATTCTGATTTCAACCGTTGCGTATATTAGCTGCGACATATGAATCAAGATGCTATGACCGAAAAATTTTGATTGACAGATGACCGTTGATATATGATTGGCCGAATTTAGGTGTTCAGACTGACGTACTATAATAATGCAAAAAAAAACATAGATTTTAAGACAGGATTTTTTTTTTTTTTTTTTATAGAAATTTTCTAACTTTTGGAACAATATGGTCTGATAAAGAGTACATTTATATACATGTTTAAGCCAGAATGATTTGACATTTAAATATGACCTCCCTACGTTAGACCAGCAGGTCGACCTCCCCAAGATGGCCCCCGTTATTCCTACGCATCGGCAGTTAACGATCTACTCTCATAAGGCTCGGGCACAGCGCGTTGCATTCTGGGTACGCCGCCATATTAGTAGCTAGTTGCTACGGTAAACAAAGAAGTCAAACAATATTTTCATACAATTCATCTTTCTTCTCATCAGAAAGCTCAAAAAACCATAACAATCTGTTCCCAACTAGAAATTCTAGACAACTTAATGTTGTAAAAGATATATTTATTTGTATAATACATACACATATATATATGACACTCCCCAGCACATATGTTTGTATATTTGCTTGTTTTTTTTTTCTCCTAACTGTACTTGTTTATTGTGACATACCCCCTGGCATATTTATTTGTTTGTTTATATATTGTTGTGTGACTTTAAGTGAAAAAAAAAGAAAAAGTTAACGATCTACTCGTATGTCTTAAAAGCCTAGCTTTATTTTGAAAAGTCCTCGCGGAAACATGGTTTTATAATGAGACGGGGCTTTTATTTTGTAGCGGTAACCGGAAGTGGATAGAGTTGCGCGGTGGTGACGGACAGCAGTGCGTGTTTTCTGTTCCCTGGGGCTGCGCTGTTTTCAACGGGACTCAGTGGCCCCGCTATGGTCGCCTGACCCGAGCTGAAACTCCATCCGTCCGCTTCCATCTTTCTCCTAAACCTTCGCTCCAACTTTTCGGGAGTAAACTTTTTTTTGTTGGGGACTTTTGCCTCAGTTTTATGTTCAGAAACAAGGATGCAACCCCCACCGCGAAAGGTGAGACACTTTTCCCCATTTTTTTTTTCCTTTTCGCCGTTGTAGCCTCCTAAGCTAACGTTACTTCGACAAAGTGCTGCATATTTAATGCTTTGAAATGTTCGCTTTGTTGCTGCTCGCCTTGTTCACACGATGGATTTCTACTCGCAAACTGTCTGTTTCCAGTCAGAAGTTGTAATTTGTAAACGTTTTAATCGGTTTAAAACAAAATAAAACCGTTAAAGCACCTTTAAGTGCTGCATTTGTCCCGTTTTTCGGGGCTCATCAAACGTGCTCCCTTCGCTTTGAAACTGAAAAACGGTTCTGCTGGAGATCTGGAACTAAACATAAGTCGTATTTATGAACTTTAATGCATAACTGGGATGTCCTGTTTAGTCATAAAACAACTTTATTCGTCAAAAAATTAGTTTTCTTACATTAATTAACCAAATAGAAACATATTCTATCACGTCTGACAAGTTTTCTATGTTGTAGGAAAGGTAATTGCATTAAATTTGTTTTAAAAATAGAATATTTGTAGTTTTTTTTAGAAGTTTGAAGGCGCACAGGCTATTTGAAGCAGAAAATACCCAAAGGAAAAAGGCTTAAAAACAAAAATCCCTGCAGAAATCAGTTTCTGTGCAAAACTATGTGGACTTAGGATCACATTTCAGCTGCACAGACCTTTTCTGTCTCACTTCTCCTGGAAAACATGTTTCACTTCATTTCAGGATCATGCATCTATATTTATTTAAAGTATAATGACTGTTTATATATAGTTTTTGTATTTCTGTTTGTGGACTTGTGCACGAGTGTAAAAACAAAAGACAGTGACAGTTATGTTTGTTTGCTTGTATTAAGTTTTTTTTTCCTATAGTAACTGTCACTGAGCAGATTTGCATGGAAAGTAAAACAAGTTATTTTTACACTTATTAAGCTTTTCTTTGCAGGATTTCTATGTCATTCTAGTTTTGATGGATCTTTTTAATTAATAGATGTTTTTGGCATTTTTTTCCTGCTGTGTGGGTCAAATCAATGAAATCCAGACCGATTTCCACATCATTTAAACTGGTCTGATCACCTTTTCTGTGCAAATGTTTGAGGAAAGTTACTTTTAGCGTTTCTCTCCTCAGTAGCTGGTGCAAGTGTTTAGTTGTAAATATTTAACTTGAGCGCAGCTTTCAGAGCAGCTGCTGATAAGCTCTGATCTGTGTTTGCTGTCAGAAAGATTCCTCCTCATATAATAATAAATATTTCTGTATTTAAGGAAAGAAAAGAAAAAGAAACATAAGTTTGGAAGCTTCTTTCTTACTCCATCCTTACAGGTTATTTAATGTGTAGGAACTAGAGCTGCAGCTAACCAGTATTTTTTAATTAATTATGACGGAAAAAGCTCCTTAATAAGATTCTAAACTGAATTTAAATCAGGTGAAGCTAAAACTAAACCACCTGATGAGATTATTATGAAAATAAAAAAGTGAGTTTTTTATTTTGAATGCAAAATGGTTATACATGTTTTTTTTTATTATATTTTAAAATTTAGTATTGGGCTAATAGATTAAACTGTTAATTAATTAATAATGGTTAATTATCAGATATCAAAAGGTTCCTTAAAGAAGATTTATTTTTATTTTTACATAATTTAAACCCGGTGAAGCTAAAACTTTTCAACTTAGATTATATTGATAGAAAAAAGAAAGAAAAAAAAAGAAAAATTCAATGCAAAATATTTATAAATATTTTTATTTCTACAATTTTGGCATAGTTACTACTTTAAGTGGGTCGCTCTATCAGCTAAAGGCTTGTTTTATAGTCTCTATGCTCCATTTACCGATTCATTGATTATTAACACGGACACAACCACCTGTGGATCCAACACTATTTACATGTACTTCTCAACTATAGATTTATATAATCTGCAAATCTTTTATCTGCTATTACCTGTCATTATTTATCCTGTATTATAACCCAGCTAATATATAGGGCTGCAACTGATTATTTTGCAAAGCAATGATTCAGTTTATAATTTTTTTGGATTAAAAATCGAATAGCTAAAGGTTCTTTAAAGAAGACTTTTTGTGAAATTAAACCAGATGAAACTAAAACTTTTCTGCTTGAGGAGTTCTGGATAGAGCATATTGACAGAAGAAGATTTTTATCTTAAATACAAAACATTTGCATATTTCACTCACAATTTTGGTATAATTCCTGCTCTAAGCGGGTCGCTCTGTCAGCTAAACGCATGTTTTTGAGACTCTATATTCTAGCTGATCATTAATCGATTACTAAATTAGTTAATGATGATTTCACAATTAATCCGATTAATTGTTTCAGCCCTAATAATATATAGAATAGAATAGAAAAGAATAGAAAATCCCTTTATTGTCCCACAATGGGGAAATTCTGGTGTTTTTACGATTACCCTCTGTGTATAGGTACCATTTATAGTCTATATATACATAGTCTCTGTGCACATGGAAACAATATTCATGTCCTGTATAGCAGTGGTCCCCAACCACCGGGCCGCGGACCAGTACCGGTCCGTGGGTCATTTTGTACTGGGCCGCACAGAAAAAAGTATATACATATATATGTAATTTATTGACGATCAGAGTCTGAGTGATGATTTATTTTGAAAAATATAATAAATTGCGGTATTCTCTCCCAATATCATCAGTCTGTTACATCTGTGCCTCTTGACACAGGTTAATTCAGTTGAAGACTCATCCTATCTATAACATCCTATGTTTTTGAAGCGGGATTTTCTGCGGTTACAGCGACCAAAGCAAAGCTACGGAGCAGACTGGACATCAGGAGCGCACTTCGTCTGTCATTTTCTCCGATTACGCCTAGATGGGACCGGCTTGTTGTTTTATTTTTATTCTGTTTGTATTTGATTTTATGCCAGTCGTATCATTTTACTTGATCGTATCCCCCCCAACCCCCGGTCCGTGAAAATGTTGTCTGACATATAGCGGTCCGTGGTGCAAAAAAGGTTGGGGGCCGCTGTATAGGACTTCTGGACAGATGCAAACTTCACTTCGTAGCATTGTACTTGTGACAGTGTAATGACAATAAAGTTGAATTCTATTCTAAATTAGTCGATGATTATTTCTAGGGATGCACGATATAATTGGCCCCCTATCGGTATCGGCCTTAAAACTGAATATCGGACATCGGCCACCCCACCGATATTTAACCCGATATTTGATCAGCTTCTGAGTTTCTAAAGTCTAAAAAAAAAAATACTACTTCTTCTTCTTCCTCAAAAACGTCTTTTTTACAGACTTAAACACTTCTAAAGACGAGGAAAAAATATTGATGCATTAAAATATCACAATATCTTAATGAAATATTGCTATATGTCATCGTTATGCTACGAAATCCCCCGAAAATTCACGAAATGTTGCCATATTTCTATATGTTGATATATTGACGCGGTATCGATCTATTTTACTAACAAAATCTCACAAGAATTTGCAAAATATCACGAGAGTTTGTAACAGAACGATTAAATTTCACAAGATTTTGAAAGTAAAATAGATCGATACCGCGTTTTTAAAAATCAATTTGATATCAGCATATGAAAATATATTTGAGTATATTATTTTTCAAAGTGTCAGAAATGGATAACAAAACTGCTATTTTCAATGACTACTTATTTTTGTCCAGCTTTAACATCGGTATCGATATCGGTTATCGGCTACATGAGTTTTAAAATATCGGATATCGGCCAAAATCCCAATATCGTGCATCCCTAGTTTGTTGTTAAACATCGTGACACAGCTCCTCCTGCTATTTGACTCAACTCTCCAGTTATATTAGATGTATCTGTGTATGATCTGTCCACACTAAGAGATTTTAACTCAGTAAAACTGAGCAACTGTTCTGTGTTTGCAGATGACCCGATGATCTATGATGATATATCTTACGTAATATAATGTGGTGAGAATGTGGTATGTAGAAACAAGCAGGATGACAGGCCAAATGTTCTAGTGTTGAAACTATCTAGAAATGTTTTTGAGGTTTATTACTTCACTAATTTCATCACCAGTAAAATGAGTAATGATAATAATGATAGATACAAACATTGGAAGCTCCATGCTAAGGGTAACAGTCTGACAGCTTCTGCTGCAGGTGAAGTGGCTTTCGTTAAAGCACTTTGAGCAGAGGTGACCAATTAAAAATCAGCCTGAATAAAGAAAATCACCAACCAGTAAAAATCTGGAGACATTTTTTATTATAATCCGTTAATTTAAACAGAATTTAACGCTGAAATAAAATTAGGTGTTTATGCATCCATGTTATACATCGAAGAAAAAAAAATAAATAAAATTTTTCCATTTTAAAATTAAAGTGTTTTTTAAGGTAGAGAACAAAAATTGTTCAGTTTGGTATATGGACAGTTTCCTGTTTTTTTTTATAAAACGCCTAAACTGACCGTTATTTTCTTTCTTTTTTCTGTCTTAATGTTGGCAGTGGGCTTTAGGCTGCCCTGCAAGGCTTTAAATCTGGGTTTGAATGGAGACTAAGCCATTCTCAAGCACATATCCAGGTGCTCATTTTGAGCCTGGATCCAGATTTATTGTTGATTCTGTTCATGGTGGAGAATCCTGCTTCACAGCAGCAGGTTGAGCCAAACATCCTCTAAATGTGCAGGGTCATATTTGAGCACGCCATTTCACTTTTCTTTCACCAGTTCACCGCAGTTCTTCCAGCAGTCCACACTTTCTCTGCTCTCTTTTTCTCATGCTCTTCTCCTTCTTTCCCATCGCCCGGCTCGCCACAGGTTTCCCTGCTGGGTCTAAAAGTAGCAGCAGCAGCAACCCAGACTGACAGCTCATTGGCTCATTTGGATCACGTGCAGCCTGGAGCCGGACGCTCCCCAGGGCTTTACCGTATTAACAGGAGAAGAGGCGCAAGTGAAGTTAGAAACCTTTGTCGGACAACATGCAGTAATTTATAAATGTTTTAAATCAGGTTGGATCCGGGTTAGCCAGCAGGTTGGACTGGATCTGGACTCTGGTCCGCTAATCCGTGACCTCTGCTATAGAGCATCGCTCTGCACCACACAGCTGTGGTCGCCTTACAGACAGCTTGGCTGCAGAAGCTGCATGTTGTGTACAATGATGCAATCAGAGTCCTCCTTAAAATACCCAGAGTCGGTTTGATATGTTAGTTTTATGGAGCCGCAGAGGGTCATGTAAGTTTGTGGTTTATGGGTTTGTATGTTTTTTGATTTGATACAATGACCTAGCCTTTCAGAGCACACCAACTGTATCATGAAGATGTCAGATCCTCATTTCTGCATGGGAACAAGAACTGAAAAGAGGGCAGTAGATTCTACTCTGCTGGTTGTGAGGGTGATGATGAGTTGAAAAGGTCACAAGATTTTATCTGAACAGGATCAAAATGATTATTCACAGGAAAAAAAAAATACATACCTTCTATATGAAGGAAAGAAAATTGTTTTTGCATTTTCTTTTTTTTTGCTGTTCATTATATTGATTTGCTCTGTTTTCTAGTGATTGTTTAGAGCTAATATCTAAATTATCTAAATTTCTCTTTCCTATTCTGTTGGAGCTTTATTATTTAATTTTATGCAAACAAAACACTTAAAGATGACTTTTACGTTTTGGCACTTAATGCTGCCATTGGCTGCTTTATGAATTTAATAATGTTGACTTGCAATAAAAGTCGGGTGCATTAACCGTATATACATTTCCGGCCCCTAATTGATACAAACAATGCTGTTATGTTAAAATCCATCATTCGGACCTTTTGCTTTCTTCTTCATACCGTTTAGTCCTCCTTCTAAAACCATAAAGCTTCTGAGGTAACCTTTATGGGTGTTTTATAATTGATTTATTTTAAAATATTTTATTTTCATGTTTAAAAAAGTCTAATATTTATATAAAATATTTTGTCTCGGGTATTTAATCAGGGTTTCTACGGGTTATTAAATTATTATTTTTTTAAATTAAGGCCTTAATTGGCATTAAAATGCTTTATTTAAATAAAAAAATACATTTATAAAAACAGTTTCGTCAGTAGGGCTGGGTACCGAACTTCGGTTCTTTTATGGTACCGACCGAAATGCTTCGGTTCTACAGAGTATCCAAACATGCCTCGTCTTTCGGTACCAAGTTTTGGGGATTGGCTGTAACACTTAACGTGATTGCGTCATCCAGGAAAAATACACAGGTGGTCACGCCTACAGCCAGGGTTCATGTGTATCTGTTGTGAACTGGTTGCGAGCGTCATGGAACCCCTTTCAAATGCCCCCCAGGTCAAAAGTGCGGCTTCACTTTATTAAGACTGATGCTAATAGTGCACAATGCAATACGTCGTGCACGGAAATAATTTAAAAGCAGAAAGTTGCTCGGTGTTTGACCGCAAGAAGAGCGGACCACAGCCGGCGCCACCATCCTCCTCTCAGCAGCCCGTGGGCAGAGCAAAGCCAGAGCGGAGTGAATCATGCAGCTTTCAAACTGGACGCAGCAGGAGCTGCAAAATCACGTCTGCTGCTTCCTTTTTGCTGCTCTGGCTGCGCGGTGCAAAAGTGTGTCTGACGCGCGTTAGGTGGAGCTTCACTATCCTTTATTTGCCTTGCAGCTATATTTGCTGTGATCAGTGGGAATAAAGTAGTTTTATTATGTTTTTAAGTGGGAAAATCCACCTGAAAACTTAATCAGTGCAGTCAGTTCATCCTGCCTTCCAATATTATTTCTGTGGGAGCCACTCAGACCCCCACATACCAGCGGTGCGCTGTCAATAGGATCCCATTCAACGGGCTTGTTTGTTTCCTGAGAGACATGGTAATTTTTCTAAAGGAAAACTGCTAAGTAAAAAGTTCCTCACAATGTAACAGTGAATATTAGACACAGAATTTTTTTTTTTTTATGTAAGAGGAAAAATGTAAATGGAAAAATCAGAGCTTAAAATAAAACTCAAGATTTGTACTTTTTTATGTTGTGTAATTTTCTTTTTTTTTTCGAATTGATATTATAAAACTGGTATCGAAAAAAGTATCGTTCAGGAACCGGTATCGAAGTGAAGGTATCGGTATTGGTACCGGAACCGAAAATTTTTGATCAATACCCAGCCCTATTCGTCAGAGATATCAGATATAACTGGTTCCGCGTGTTTGAGCCGAACTGCTTCCCGTTTATTATAAAGCCGTATGTTCGGAAAAGAAGCTACAAAATTGTAGCCTGGGTGCCGTTCCGAACTTAGTCCCGCCCACAACGTTTGAGGTCTGGAAGTTCGGTCTGGCATTGCTCAACAGTAGCGTGAGTATGCTAGCACAATATCTGGCAGGCCAATCAAATTGTCAGGGCGGGTTTTATACGATGATGGACAGATGATCAACAGTAACGTAATCAACCATGTGACCAAAGTGCGCTTGGGTGACAACAACAATGGCTGCTGCTGGAGAGTTGAGGTGAGTAGGTTCTGCTATTAGGTCTGTTCTAGAAGATATCGACAGCAAATTAATTTTAAAAGAGGAACAGAGAAAAGCGATCAAGGCTCATCTTCTTATTCTAGACGTGCAACTGCACGCTTTGATTTTTGACAACAACTATGCGTCGCTTAACATACGTCACGCACTCCGTTGCTCTTATTGGTCGTAGGTCTATCCAATTGAGTGCAGAGGCATTTTTTTTCCTGGTTCGTTCGAAACACGCCCCATAATCACAGCTCTATGGAGCAGCATCAGACTCATTCTGACTAGAATTGAGTAGGACTACGTCAGGCTAACAAAATTGGCTGAAAAACGAGGAATTCAGGACATGGCCGTGTTTGTGTGTGTGTATCTATATAAAGATATATATATATATATATATATATATATATATATATATATATAGAGAGAGAGAGAGAGAGAGAGTGAGAGAGAGAAGAAAAAAAAATCATAATTATATGCCTTCAGAGTCACAGCATCCGTTCTGAATATCTGCTCTTTCTGTCCTGGAAGTGTTTGTATGACGGATCTCACGCGATGCGTCCCACCATCCTAACTAGGGATGGGGATCGAAACCCGGTTCTATCAAGGACCCGGTTCCAGTTTTTTCAAAACCCGAAAATCAATAACGTTTGGGCTTATCGATACCACTATCGAGTCTGGTCTTTTTTTTTTTTTTTCCCGGAGGTCCTGTAACATAATTGTGTGTCCCTCGAGTCGCGTCACAGCATTTAAATCTAATCAATCCAATCACTGCAGCATGTCTACCAATGTTTTGGAATGAAATTGTAAGCAAACAGATATTAAAAGTAAAACAAGTGAAGTCTGGCAGTTAACTTTGCTCGCAACTCGAGAATGGCTGAACGGAAAAGACTCCTCCTCCTCCTGCTGCTGCCCCGCCGCACCACAGTCGGGCCCGTCTTCATCATCCACTCAGAGAACCACTGGTTAGCGCGCACACAGACTTTGTAGCTTGTCTGGTCACTTAAAAATGGTAATTGTGAAATCCGTGTTGTAATCGGCAGCATACAAGCTAGTTAGCTTAAAAAGTAAATAAAGTTTCAGACGTGCTGCGTGATGATGTGTTCAGGTTGGCTCAGTAAAACGACAATTAGGTTATCATGATGCGTTCAAGTGTAACGTAAAGAAAAGGGAAATTGAGTTTTTGGCGAGAAACATGAGTAATACAGTTGTATATTGCTGTAATTATTTTACAATATATAATTAAACTACTGATGCCAACATTTATTAAAAATTACATTTAATTTAAAATAAAATTATTTATTTGATAAATATTTTCCTAATCTCTAAAAACCTGATGAAAAGTGACAGACATGTTAATTTTTCTGCAAAAAAATACCTGTTAATTTATGGGCTGATATTTTATTTCCTTTTTTTCTGACACAGCATATTATTCATTTAATTTATATACATTATGACATTTTATTTTTCATTTGGTGCTGCTGATATATTCTAGTTAGTTTTATGTCATTTAGAAGTGGCCTATTACATTAGCCATGTTTACTGAAGGCTAGAAACTTTTTTGTTATGCTCACTTGTTAAGCAATAAAAGCAATACCAGTTCTGTTAAAAACATATTGTCGCATCGTCTTTCCACCAAATAACAGAAAAGTATCGATAGTGGTATCGATAAAGACTCGGATCGATAAGGAGTATCGATAAAGGTATCGATATCAATAAATATTAACGATCCCCATCCCTAATCCTAACTGATCTCCTTTTGTTTCCCCGTCAGGTAAGGCTCACCCAGGAGCTGAGACACACTCAAGCCGAGCAGATAAACCAGTTACAGATGAAACACCAGACAGAATGTGACCTGCTGGATGATATGAGGTAAACGCAACCTTTCTTCCTCCACAGTTTATGGATTAATCTAAAAACCTTTCCAAATGTGCTTTCTAACAGTTTGAAGAAAAAGTCCACAACTTATAATTCTAAATAAGAAATGTGTTTTTCTGTCTCCTAAAACCTTCTGCCTTAAATACATGAAAACAATTCATTTGATGGCCCTGAAGTTTAATTTACTTCCTCTTAAACTACATAAAATAACTTCCAGTCATGAATCCCAACTAAATAGTCTTTCACGTTTGTAGTTTTAAAGTTGTAGCGAAGTCATATTTAAATGTCAAATCACTCTGCCTTAAACATGGATATAAATGGACTGTGCATAGTGTCCCAAATGTTAGAAAATTTCTATTTTTAAAAAGAATCTTAAAATCTGTTTTTTTTTTTGTGTTATCTTCTGCAGGCCAGTTAGTTCTACGTCAGCCTGAACACCTAAATTCAACCAATCATATATCAACAATCATCTGTCAGTCTGTCAAATTTTTTCGGTCATAGCATCTTGATTCATGTGTCGCAGCTAATATACGCAACGGTTGAAATCAGAATCCTTTCCTTTCCCATTGAGTTCCGTCCCAGTGTTCACAGGGATGGACGTCTGTGTCTTCGGCAGGCGTAGAGCTAACAGAACTGGCAGCGTTGCGAGGCAAGGGCTCAAACATGTACGGCTGGAAGCCTTCTACACTAAACCAAGCTTCTGCCGCCCTGGCGTCCTCTTCAACAACATCTTCGTCCCCGCTTTCCTCCTCTAAATAAAAAATGGATGACGGAGGAGACTCATCCACGACCTCCGACACTAAACTCTCCTCCTCTTGCATGTTTCCGCTGTCCATAGCGTTCCTTGACAGCGTCGTTTCTAAGTCACCAATTTAGTGCTACTTGGTCCCAATGGAATTTCCCATTTGGAACCTGCTAGCACTAAGTTGCTAACTGGTTAGCAAGATGCTTCAGAGAAACCGGCCTCAACCATACTTTCTTATAAACCTTCCGCCATGAAAACCCCGCCCTCTTGATCGACCAATCACATTCACTTTATTCACTCGTGTAAAGACGGGCACCAGATAAGATAAGATTAACTTTATTGTCCCAAAGGAAATTTGATTTGGCTACAGACTCTGGCTGCTACATAGTCCAAACTATGTGTCGCACTGCATTTACACATAAAAACACTGCTACAAAAATTCCATTATTAGACAGTAAATAAATAAATACCATTTGGGAGAATTTCGGAAATGATACGGTTGGAACAGCTGCTTCCCTACGACTTTAACGACTTTGACAATAATATTTGCATTGAGAAACACTGGATGTGCTTTGCACGATTCACACGATGAGTTAAACATAAAGATGTATAGTTTCAGTAGCTTTTAACTGGAATGCACTATATATATACATATATTTACGTATATATATATCTCAGCATTACTATTGGCTCCTGTTTATAACAGTATATTAAAAAACACATTATTAATGTGTTAATTGTTTGTAAATGTGACTGTTTGATGCAGCACAGGGTGGAGCAGCAATATCAGCTCTCGGCATAGATGAAGATATATGATGCGTCAGTGTTGTTAGTGTAAAACCACGCAGACAAAGACCAAAACTGAAATATGTCACAATAAAACATTTATTTCAGAGAGATAAAATCGATATAATAAAGTCAGTAGCAGCTTATTTAACACTATAACTCCCTGGGACTTTGAATCTGAATCTGATTATCTCTCAAATTCGAATTGGATGCAAAATGAGTGGATAAAAACTCGGACCTACTCTTTCACGAGTCCGATCCCCCCTAGAAACCAGGCAGAAAACATCAATTTTGACTAATGAACAGTAGTTTTTTCCTTAAAGCTAATATGGCAGATTGCTGCACACTTAACTGGATATTGTATTTATCTATCTACCCACCTATCTGTTTAGTTTTATTATTATGGCAATAACTTTAAAATTCAAGTGTAAATATGTTACTGTTATCTTTTTTACAATAGACTGAATATTTCTTTTCAGCTTTTATTTACGCTGCTTCTGCGTGCATGAGACTGAATGACCCGCTGTGTTTTTTCCAGCATAAGCAGAGGACAGCGCATTCTCTACCGCGCTGAAGTACGTTTCACGTTGAATGTTGGATATTCAAGCTGCTGCATCTTGCTCACGGTTGATCCGATTCAGGATCTCTGATTTCGGCCGTCTCTCCTAGAGCTGTCGCGCCCTGTTCTCTGTGGGTCTCTTTAAAATGTGAGATTAGCCGTGAGCTGGATGCTGATGACTCCACAGAGCTGGAATATCCAGTTGGAATCCAACTTTCCTGCAGTGGAGAATACGCTGCTGCTCAATAACTGCTGTGCAATATGCAGAGATAAATGAAAGATACTGAACCAGGAGCCTTTTCTCTCGTTTCGAGGTAACATAGCTGTTTTCTGTACAGATCAGTTATCAGCTGATTGCTCCGTTGGCGGTACAGCGTTTTAAATTCACTCTGATAACAGACCTGGCGACTCTGATCACTCTGATAACAGACCTGGCGACTCTGATCACTCTGATCAGACCAAGAACCTAAAATTATCCTCCTTAGATCAAGATCCATCTTTATTACTGCAACACTATATGAGTAAATATTGGTTATCAACCATAGTGCAGCTATTAGATATTGATATTACCGCACTGGTTCATCCTTATTTTACATATGCAGCTCAATCTTGTTTTCTAGTTGCTACCTGCAGGCAAAGTGTGCAGAGATTTCACTAAAAGAATGGTCCTAATCAAAGCGTATTTGCTCATATGGACTCTAGTCAACATTTCTTCCCCTTTTGTTTTTCTTCTTCTTGTCATAAATAGCTGATTAAAATCAGCTAAATTGAACTTTTAAAGGAAGATCCTATGTAACTATTTCCTTTCTGATCCACGGTGTGCTTCAGTTCTCGTCAGGAGCCCAGTTAACATGTTGCTTAGGGATTAATAAAGCTTTTTTTATTTCGATTGAATTGAAAGTGTCAGCAGGTGATCATTGTAACTGAATGAAGATTTTATTTTAAGACATCCGATAATGCTACGTTTAGACCACAGAGGCAGCAGAAGCAGCTAGTTTACATTCAGAAGCAGCAGCTGCGGAAGTTGGACAAATTGGAAGTTTAGCTGCTGGACGCGCCGCATCAACCAATCAGAGAAGCTGATCTGGGAGCTGGCAGGGATACAGACACAGCACTGCTGTTGCAGAGCGCTATGATCACTCTTCTGAAACAGTTTATTAACGCCTAAATTAACTGCAAAATATGTTTGATTATTCTGGTGCCTGCAGTTTGGATTACTTACTTTTTTATTAATTACTTACCGGGCCAGAGGCTGCTGTTGATGGGGATTCCCAGTGATGGCGCACCGCCGGTGTGCGGTGGTCTGAGCGGCTCCGCTCTGAGCGAAATTATATTTGAAGGCAGGATGGTAATCTGGATGAACTGACTGCATAGATTAAGTTTTCAGGTGGACTTTCTCACTTAAAAACATATTAAAACTACTTTTTACCCACTGATCACAGCAAATATAGCTGCCATTGTTACAGGCAAAGAAAGGATAGGATAGCTCCGCCCACCACGCATCAGACCCACTTTACAACCGCGCAGCCAGAGCAGCAAAGATGCTTCAGCCGTGCATGAAATGATCTTAAAATGTACTTTTATAGAGCAACAGAAAATAGAACTTGTAAATTAATACTGTGAGCTCTGTGAGCGCGAACCTGAAAGCCGCTGCTGCCGCAGTGCATGCTGGGACAGCTGTCAATCTCAAGAACAGACAAGTCTGCTCTGATGCATTCTGGGTAAAAATGGAGGGGTGAGAACAACATCCGGGGACTTTTTCCGTTCTCAGTCTGCTGTTCTTGTGAATTTGAACGTTACTAGGGCTGAGGATGATGATATTTTTGCGTACAAAAGCACACAAGATTGCACAAGTACACGTATTGAGAAACGGCCAATGAGTGTCGCTTACAAAGCTAGAGCACCAAAACGGATTGACATCAGCAAAAAGTCTCCTGAAAACAGCTGTTTTTTGTTAACTAGAAACTGGCAACAGCTGGCAATTTGTTTGTTCATCTAACAGTGTAGATGTCAGAAGCTCTTTGGTCAGAGTTGAATGAGGTGAGCTTGCAGGTGGAGCTGTGGTTAGTCCTTATACCCCCTTTTCTGTCAGCCTACTGTCGTAAAAACGCGTAGTCAGTATTTTTTTGAGAGATAGATTGTAAAATCACGTTAGAATTGTACAGTGTATATCAATTTTTTTACCTTAACCTTACAAAGGCAGGGTAGATTGGTTTGATCTCAAGATTTTAATCCAATACTTGTATATTTAGGTTATGTAAAAACTCAGTGATTAGCAACCTTTGTCTTTGGAAATATAAAAATCAAAGCCAAATAGGCTTGGAATTTCAGCATCCGAATCTTTAAACCCACGCAGGCAGATTCAGCGCTGGCTTCATGTGTCTGCATTTTTTTTAAAGAAGGCTGAAAACCCCAAAAGATGTGGTTATGTTCTGTGCCTTGGTGTTGGGTCGACCCGACAATCTCTGGCTCCTCGTTTCCTGTCTGTGGCCGACACTGGAGCTCCAGCCCCCCTAATAGCTGGACGTTAAGGTTATAGAGAGCCGCCAGATGTTGAATTGTTCTCTGTTGGAGGTTCTGTAACTTCACAATGTTCAGCTCTACTGACACACAAGGGGGGTAGGGGTCACTGGCTGATCAGGGACGAGAAATGATTCAGCACGCTGGAAACTGCCAACGGTTGTCAGCAAAAGCTTTGCATGAGAAAATGGCAGGAAGCAGGGGGGGTCGGTGGAAAAGAGGGAGCGTTGGAAATGCAGCAGAGAGGAAGAGGCGGAAGCTCCCAGGAAGTACGCCAGATTGTTTAGAGTCAGGGTGGAGCATGGCAGCCAAGTCTCGACATGTTTAATGACTTAATGATGATTTTGCTGCAGGAGTTTTTCCCAGGGCACTGACCTTGCTTCT